GAAACATTTTGCTGGACTTGATTGCATCAACTGCATTATTTCATAAAATGTGAGCTGTGAAGTGGTTGTTGATTAGGGCTCAAATTGAGGAGGGATGTTGAGCAATGTAAAGAAAAAGGAAATTAGTACTAAGAGGCCAAATGCTTTTTTTTTTTTTTTCCCCCAATTCTTTCTGCTTTTGAATTTTAACTGTTTCCTGGATTTTCCTGACCTTTATGGAGTACATAAAAAAAACCCCAAAACCCAACCTACAAATGCTCTGCAGATTTACCCTTGTGAGATTTGTGTAGCTGATAAAGGACTGATACCACTCAGCAATGTGCATTTTGCAGGAAATATCTGTTAAATCTGGTTAACTTTTGTTCTGGCAGTTGCAAATCTGAACTCACCTGGTTCTGCATCCCAACTTTTTATTTGCCCAAGGAAATGGTGATGGTTTTTCAGAAGGAGTCTTTCCCCAAATCACGTGGCCTTTATTTTAGGGAATGTGGGCCAAGTGTTACAGATGTTACTGCTCAGGTTTGGGGTGTTTTTGTGTATCCTTCAGCTGATTAAAATTCCTGCTTGGTAGCAAAGATGCGCTTTTTTTTTTTTTTGGAGAGGTGGAATCACATCCGTCCTCCTCTGGAACAAAGGGGGTTGGAAGCAGAATGACTGAGTGCCATGAAGGTGTTTGGGATTTATTCAGTAATGGGAAATATTCCTTGGAATGAGAAACTTAAGCCATAATTATTGGATCAACACTAATGTGGAATAACTCTGGGATATGGATATTTAGGGAGAACATGTGGAGATCCTCCCTGCTCATCTGTCAAATTCCTTGTGAATTCTGCATTGCAGCAGGTGAACTGTCCAGGGATTTTTAAAAACCCTGCTCTGCAGCTGAGTTTTCCTGGTCCCCCCAGATCCGTGTCTCACGACAGGGATAACAGGGAAAACCAGGGAAAAAAGGGGGATGCTGCTCCCGGTGCTCCTGCAAACATTCCTCAGGCAAATAAACCCACTTTGGAGCAGCAGCTCTGGGAAAGGCCTTCAGTACCTCCCCTGAAAGCATAATTAAACCCATAATTAAATGGAGCCTAAATTGAATTATCCAATCTGCTGGAAGAGCTCGGGAACCTCGGCTTGGACACGGAGGTGCAAACGCAGCCACTGCGGGCACGGGAAGGAGGGGTGTTTGATCCAGCTTTTGGGAAGGTTTGATCCAGCTTTTGGGAAGGTTTAATCCAGGTTTTGGGGACGTTCTCGAAGGCAACCGCTGTGGGATTGGTTCTCCTTTCTGGGGAAGTGGGACATTCCCTGCTGGAATGTCACCAAGCCCCACCTGCCATGAACAGAATTCCACCTCGCTGAAATCCGGGTGGTTTTTGCCACAGGCATTTCAAGCCTTGCTGGAGGAGGGAAAGGTTTCCACCCCTGAGCTCTGAGCACATTCCCAGCTCCCAGGCCAAAAGGGAAACACCACTTTTATATCTTCCTTTCCCTGCTCCCTCTTTCCTTCGGTGCGGATCGGGATCCTGGTTTGTCTCCAGCCCTGCCTTTGGGGCCTGATTGTATCTGCAGAGGCCCCTGGTTTCCCTTTCCGCAGCACAAGAGCTCCCTGTACTTTGTGTTTCCTCTGCAATCCATGGAGTCTCTCCATGTGCTGCAGCATTCCTGTGTTTTGGTCCTGGATGAACTCCCTGACGTGCCTGTACCAGGATCTTCCTCATCGAGCCGGGCTTGCTTTTACTCCTTAAAATCCACAAGTTCTCCTGTTCAGTCCAGAGAAATTCCCAGATGACTGAATGGG